CCTAAAGGTATCGGGCTCATATATATGTATATATATATATATGCGTATATGAAGTGGCGTTTATAAGTGTGGCAGGATTTATATTACAAACATATACGAACCTGATCGAGCAGAATTGCTAACTGCTTTGTTCAGCCTCTGCTTCGGCCGACAACTTGCATGGAATATGTGATCACCTCTAACAGCACATGTACGTCAAACATCAGTGTTTAGGGTTGCGGATATAGCTGTTTTCAGTGTCGCCAGACTCAGCTTGCTCCTCGCTAGTGCCGTCTTCTCTTCGGAAAAGCTTATTCTAACATTACCGAAGGGTTCCCAAGCAGGACTGCAGCACACGGCATTTGGTTCTGCGTTTCTTGTTAGGCTAGCCACAAAAATCCTTGCCAGACAAGACAGGAACAAACAACCTACCCAAACCCCTAATTAAGCCGAACAGAACACATCCACCCAGCACCCTACTATTGGACCTCAAACCCCAACAAGCCCACAAACTCTTAACCCCAGGTTCGCCCCAACCCCGAAGCCCTAAGCTGCTCAACCCGCTACCCCGAAAGCCCTGCATCACTCAACACAACCCAAGCCCTAAACTCTAAACCTCAAGCTTGAGCCGTAAACCCTAAACCCAAGCCGAGCCCTTTACCCTAAGAACTACCAGCAGACTCACTTTGTTCATTGGATGCCAACAACAGGCTTTAGAGATGTTCGGCATCGGATTCCTGTTCTGGGTACGGAACCAAAGCTTGTACTGCTAACCCCATCTTCGAAATATCCTGTTGGCCTCTGACTTGAAGGATCTGGCGACTTAGTGAGTGGAGTACAGTCAGTTTGGTTCTAGGTGCAGGAACCACATCAAAGTACTTATAACCCTGGTCAGTAGTATAGGGGGCTTAAAAAACTAGAATAGGGTTTGCGGGCCCATTATACTATAACTATGAGAAGGGGCCCCCAAAATATTACGGGTAAATATTTAGGCCCCTGCATTCTGTAGCTTGCAAAGCATCCCAACGGTGCGAGTGGCGCAGGGCTGGGGGCGGCCGCTCCGCCGCCACGGGTCCGAGGAATCCAAGCACAGCGCCTACGATTGGGTTTAGAGTTTTGTAAGGAAGGGTTCAGAGTGTTTAGTGAGTTATAGTATTGGGGAAAGGAATCTTCTTTCCCTGTGACTGGGGCCTGGTAGGTGTTTAGGGCTTTGTGCCCCAGCCTGAACAACTCGTGCAATGGAGGAATGGGGTTCAGTAAACCCTAAACGCTACACCCTAAGCCCTAAGTCAAACCTCTACTCAAAACGAACCAAGGGACGAACACGATCCATCTTAGGGATCGCGACAAGGACTGAGCTTGGGGTTTAATTAAAGCCGAAGATTAGTTCCCTAAACCCAAGGGATTCAGGAAGCACTCGCAGTTTCGAGACTTAGAAGCTATAGAGCCTAAACCCTGAAACCCCCAAACCCTGCAGGGACACCTAAGCTTCGTTGTTTGGGGTTTCTAGGGTTTAGGGTTTAGGGGGGAATTATCTAAATCTGCAGGGCCTCAGAGTGTAAGGATCCTTGTTATTACGGGTAGTTCTCTAAATCGGGGGTCCGTTTTAGGCTCCTTTTTAGCTAGGGGTGCCGTACTATATTTTGGGACCTAAAAAGGGGCCAATTTAGAGAACTACCCAAATGGCCCCGAGGTACCCGTGATTGAAAGAAACCCCATAACTCCTTGAGGCGCGATCACAGGTTTAGGGTTTAGGGTGTAGGCACCTTTCAGCCCTCCCGTCCGGTCCTTAACCGGCCTTACTAGCACCGGAAACTTTAGATCCGAAGTCCTTGCTTTAGGGGGTAAACCCTAAACCCCTAAACCCAAAAACCCTTTAGGGGCTTTGGGGTTTGGGCTTCAACTGGCCTGGGGCCTTTGCGGCCGTGTGTGAACTGAGGGTCGGGGACTCAGTCAAAAAGTGCTGAACACTTCCGGTTTAGGGTTTTAGGGTCTACCTTAACCCCAAATAAGCTACCTTTTTTTCAGGACTTATGTAAAGAAATCATAATAAGGCACCCAAGAAAGGTAGGTTCTTTGGGGTCCAGGTAGGGTTTAGGGTTTTTCGTGCCGTCCTCCAAGTACTGGCGAGGTTTGCTGAAAGAAGCCTTCCATCCCACACCCGAACACCCCAACGACACACTAAACACAACTGGTTCCCGCTTGGGGCTATATTACAAATGATCATTTTTAATCCTTTTTGGGCTTTGTTATAACAAAAATGTAGAATTGTAGCCAATCCGCAGCCCTGACAACCGGCCTGTGGATGCAGTCTGTTCCACCAGATCGCGGACCACCGGTCTCGCAAAGCGGAATCCGGCGTCCAACCATGTGAACCAAGCCTGGGCGGGGTGGGCATAGCCAATGATCAAGGGGTGTGAAGACTTAGTAACATTAGTAGCGAGCCTTTCTATAGGATAACATACTCCAAAACCCTGCTCTAAGTAGAGAGGCCCCCTGCATTCGTCCACTGTATCGGCCGGGCCGATCTTCGTCCTTTCAAGCCAACTTCTAACATTGGGTAGTTCGCTAAATTAGTGTCCCGCTTTAGGTCCCTAATATAGCACAGCACCCGCATCAAAAGGACCCTAAAAGGGATCCTAATTTGGAGAACTACCCATTCTGTCCCCGGAACCTTCAACTACGAGCCCAACCCTAAGTCTATAAGACTGTAATCCGTGAACCCAAGACTCTAAAACCCCAGGAAGGCAAACCCTAAGCCTTTCAAAGGGTTCAGGCTATTACAAACACGGCGAAGTACAACATCTCAGTGGCCTACCTAGACACTCGACCCGTAACCTCATCAAGGCTTTCGCTGTGTAAAGGCGTGGCTCAGGGGGCTCAGTCGAAATTGTGACAAGCTATTTGAGAATAAGGGTTTTGAGGTTCAGGGTTTAGGGGTTTAGGGGTTTAGGCAGAAATTTGACCATTCAGGCCATCACCTTGGCCACAGCTCCAAACAATTGGGAGGCCCCCTAAGCCCTGAACATCCAAGCATGAGACCCGGAAGCGTTGACTCCAGATCCGGAAACCAAAACCTCGCAGACATCCCTAGATGATACCCCAGGCAAATGCCAGACCAATGGAAAACACATAATACCAAACACAACTATGGAACTATGGATGCAAACATACACGATTACATCATACCTACACATGTGGATATCTTTTCCGACTGACTCTATATGGGTAGTTCTCTAAATTAGGGTCCCTCTTTGGGCCCCCTCCAATGTAGTACGGCACCCTTACATAAAAGGACCCCAAAAGGGGACCCTAATTTGGGCACCACTGCCAATGCGATGCTGGGGCAATGGCGACATTGAGCATCATCTGATGCTCGAAGATTGAAGCAAACTTGAACCTTCTCAGCTTCGCATTTGAGGGTTTAGGGCCTAGAGGGTAGGTTTCAGATCAAGGGGTGCATTTGCTGGCTTGCAACGGGACTGTTCCTAAACCCTAAACCCCTAAACCCTAAGTCCTGAACCCATCTCCGGCAAACTGGGCGTGGAGCGTACGACGTGTCTACAGCGAGCGCCACCGAGACGAATACTAACGCATAAACCTTACCTGAGCCATACGGAACTTATCTGAATCTTTTTGAGGACTTATAGAAGGAAAACATGATAGGGAAGCCCGTAAAAGCGGTTGTTTCGAGTTCACGTATGCCTTCAAAGACCCCTGTAGTATTGCTCCAGTTTGAGATTCACCGAAGAATCCTGCACACCCCTGCAGCCCGGAAAAGCTCGTGACAGCACAGGCTCCATCATATATACGGGCCGTCAGCATTAGAATAATATAGGGGCTTTAATAGTTAGAATAGGGTTTAGGGGTATATTATTATTTTAGAAAAATAATATACCCCTTGAACCCTATTCTAATTATTAAGGCCCCTACATTAGGGTTGGGAGGACCTACTCAATCGCAAGGTGCTATGGTAATGCGTACCCAGCAATGCAAGTAGAATCTAGAACGCCCGCACTTGCAGTTACACTTGCCTTGCCTCCTTCAGAACAGTGAGAAAGCTGGGATTTCACCTTCTGAATTTCTGTCGCCACGTGATGCGGATGGGGCACGCAGCTGCATGACATCGACTTGGGAATGCAATCGACCATTATGCTGAGCAGATGTTGGAAGCCCTGTAAGCACTGCTACCTTTTTTCCTTTGCAAGAAGACACTGTGCTAATTCGAGAACGCCTTAGAACATGCATGTCGAAACTGCAAAGAAACGTATGCTGCAAGCGTCCTGCCCGCACCAGCAACCCCTTGGAACTATTTCCCCAGCGGGATGCTATCTGCCGGCGTCTGCGCAGCAAGCAAGATAGACTCGACTATGTTAGTTGCCACAATGGGCTTTCATTCAGTAGACGACTTTGGTCCGAAGATGTAGAAGAAGTCAATGCCAGCACTGCGCATTCTGGCAAATGAAGCTGTGTTCTCAAAAGATGCGTAGACACAGCAAAAGATGCAGAGGGCTAGTCAAACACGGATGGAATTTGTTCTGAGGGTTTGGTGGTGGTCCTTGTGCATACAGCCAATTGGTACCTATGCTTTTGCCGGTAATCCCTTTTGAAAACGGGCGAATGGAGTAATTAACCAGGCGATTCCTAGTCCTCACAAGGCCTGTGATGTAGGGGCTTTCTGTTAAAATCCTATTGGGAACCTATGCTGAACCTTCATACAACCCTAACAAAAAGCCGAGGGCCTAAACCTTAAACTTGAAACCCTGAAGCCCTAAACCCTCGCTCAGAGGACGCAGAGATTGCAGCTTCACAGCTCTTGAGGCGGCACCTGGAAGAGCCTTACATGTCCAAGTTTAGGGTTTAGGGCTTTAGGGGTTTAGGGTTCAGGGTTTCGGATTTAGGGTCTATAGGGCTTAGGGTTTAAGGTTTCAGGGTTTGGGGTATTGGCTTGCTAGGGTTTGAGGGTGTAGGCCTAGCGCTTTAGGGTCTTAGGGTTTCTCTTGAACCCTATATAGGCAAGGTTTCTCAAGGCTCTTCAGATTCTCTTCTGGGAGATTTGGGCCTTGCGACTCCAGAATGAAATATACAGAGGTGTAGCACCGTTGCATCCTACAGGTAGCACCCTCGGAGCTATGCTGAAGATAATGCTGCTAGTCGATACTCGGGTTGGGTAGAGATGCAAAAAGAACGCCACAAGTCCCGAGCTACTCAAGAAACACAGAAAAGAACTACCAGGACACCATGCTAAGACGCACAGTATCCTCAACCTGCTGGGCATGTCGCTTCGCATGAAGGAAGTGCTGACCCGTAGAGTCGATCGTCGGCAGAGACCTGTGCAGCGAGGGTCAGTTCTGCGGTTCATGGGTCTCGAAGGTCTTAATTAAGGGCCAGGACGAATCTTGCTACCTTGTGTTCCTCTTTCAAGTTTGAAGGAAGGACAGTGCTTCATGCGGATGTGAAGGCTGCTTCAATGCAAGCCCAGCCACGCTGTGATGTCGTTCATGCCTGCTGCGAAATCGTTATTTGTGGGAAGCTTGACGCGCTGGGTCCAATCCAGCTTCGTCGTGTCCACCATCTGCCACTGCATGCTCTCATAGTTTCGGTAAGCGTAGAAGCCTGTCTTAGGTACCCGGATGGTCGCCCAGGCCGTGTGGCCACTTTCAACAAGCTTGCCGAGGGGATTCGGTTCAGTGAAGCCTTTCGTGATGAAAATGCTGTTGAGTATTCCTTGAGCCAGAACCAGCCAGTCCTCCAGAGTGTCCGGAGGAGCATTGACCTGCGAGTCTAGGCTCTAGACATCTATTCCTCAGTGACTAACCCATAGGCTCCTTAGTAGTTCCTTTTTGGGATTACCTTATAGGATTCTAAATATGAACCACAAAGAGGAACTACTTAGGAGCCTGTGGGTATGGCCATTATAGCCTCGAAGTCACGACACCCAGAGTGCCTCCTAACTCCCTTGGGTTTAGGGTTTCAGGTTTTAGGCCCTAATGAACCACAAAAAGGAACTGCTCAGGAGCCTGTGGGTAGATTCTAGATTCTAGATGGCTGGAGCCAGCTCTGTGGATGGTAGGCAGGCACTGAGAGCGAGCCCAGCGATTTTTGAACCATTTTAGGGATTAGGGTTTAGGGATTAGGGTTTGGGGTTTAAGGTTTAGGTTTAAGGTTTAGGGTTTAGGCCGAGCCTGTGAGATCTGCCTCGTGAAGAACATCCTGACAAAGCGCGATGGCGGGGAAGCGTCACCAGGCAAGCCACCGGTATTGAAGCCGTGACCCATGTCATAGGGCACCTTGCCTTGACCTGCCAAGAGCTCTCCAGTTGGGAGGAGCAGATCCTCGTTGTTGCCCGGCTCTGGCAAGATCCACCGATAGGCATTCAAGTTGTCAACATGCCATGGGTAGAAGGGGTCATTGGTCATGAGGCCCACATAGTTGTTGTAGATCCTGGGCTCCCCTCGCTCATATTCCAAGACAATCGAGCCACCCTCCTTGTCAGTTATAGCCCAGTGCGTGTTGGCGGCACGTAGAGGTATCGGGTTCATGATGCAATACTTCTTGCTCAGAATTGCTTCTTTGACCTCTTCGACCGTTGAGAAGGAAGTCAAGATCCATTGCGCAAGGCTCTGGGTGAAGATGGTTTTGTAATCCTTCCTGTGTCACGACTACGGTATGGATGAACACTCAGACATTGGTTGACTTGTTCTTAGGCTGAATACAATCGGAAAAAGGTTAACCGAACATGCCCCAGTTTCGAGAAGAAGTCGCATTTCTGATATTCACTGCGATAGAGAGACTGCAGGGCGACCGTGAGACCCGCCTCGTTCATCCCATCAGCATATGCTGGCGGGATGCCAATTCCCAACACACCATATTTTGCCTGGCAAGCTGTCCCAGCGGGTCCATATATACTCCTGTTACGGAATTAAGTCCCCCAAAAACCTAAGGGTTCCTTTAAGCAATCTTTCAGGGTTCCTCATGCCCCCATCCTGTAACAGTCTTTACTCGGGGTCGTACTCAGGGCTTTACACAATTCGATTTTGCAGAATACCCAGCTGTTACAGGGTGGGGGGCTTTTGGAGAACCCCGGCGTCGGAGAGGGCGTTGGACACGTTATTCAAACTCATCCTGGTCTTTCTCGGCGTCATAAAAAGCTTCCAGTTGGTGAATGTCAGGATCTTGCCGTACTCCATCGTGTGACCGATGACCTTGACGCCCTGATGGCTTGTGTTCAACTCGAAGAAGGAGCAGGCACGGAGAGGGTACTGGCCACCGAAACCACTACCAACATACTCCACGGCATCGCGTGCTGTCGAAAGTCTGCCCGGCTACACTCGGCTACGCCTAGGAGCTGCCCCGTACGCTTGAGGGCAGCGCAATAGCGCAAAGAAAGAGCCACGGAAGTAGTTCTGATGCAGGGCTCGGACTCGAAACAATATGTAACAAGATCCAGTTAAAGCTCCAAGCCTTAGATTAGATAGTTCTACTATACTCCGAAACCCCGTTCCAGCTATTACAGCTCCTCGTATTATGAATTCTACATTGATCCTACACCTCCTACCTCTTTGCACTCGTGTCGGGAGTTGGGACCGATCGATTCAGTTTCCAAACAATAATGTCTTTAAGCCTCAATGCGAAAGGGAACTTCCAGACCCTAAGAACAAGACAAGCCACCCAAAAGGATCCTCGCACATTACCTAAACCCTAAACCCCTATATCCTAAGCCCTAATCCCTAAAAAACAATCTCCCAAACCGTGGAAGCTGTGGGTAGACTCCGCAAAGCGTCTGTGTTCTTCCGGCTTCGAACAAGGAAGACGTTGTGTTGTTCAGTCATTATCTCGGATAGAGAGGTTTCCCAAGGGGTCCATATATACTGCCATTATGGAATTAGGTCCCAAAAGACCATTCATATTCTGGTTTTTGGGGCCTAATTCCATAATAGTAGTATATATGGACCCTTAGGGTTTGTGTAGGGTTTTAAGTCTACGGGTTGGTCCTGGGCAGCACCCAGGCAGGATCCCTACACCCCTAAACCCTAAACCTTAAAGCCTAAACCCCTAAATCCTAAAATCCTAAACCCCTAAACCCTAAACCTTAAAGCCTAAACCCTAAATCCTAAACCCTAAACCCCTAAACCCCTAAACCCGTGCCTCAGCAGATCTTGCGCCCCCAAGCTTCAACTTAGAGCCCCAACTCCATCAAGCGCGACACGATACGACTGAAACTCGAGGCATAACCCTGTCAACGCGAATGACCTCCTTCTAATAAAATGTAAACGTCTCAAGTGTGTGCATATATATATATATATGTACATGTATGTATGCGTGTAAATATGGGTTTGTGTATATGTATGCATGAATGCATGTATGTATGTATGTATGTATGTACGTACGTACGTATGTATGTATGTATGTATGTATGTATATACATGCATATGTATACACGCAAATATTTGCGTTATAATGCGTCCGGCATCAAGCACATCCGACTCAGGCCAGGTAGTTTCTGCTAACCGATTGCTGTAAGCTCGAATACTAAGACATGGCGATAAGAAGTTAAGCCGTCTAGTTGTTACGATGATTGTTACTATGACTATTACTACCATTATTTTGTCTGATACTGTTATTAATATTATTACTATTATCATTATCATTATCATTTGTCGCTCGTTGCTTGTGTCGGCCTGCACCATGCAGCCGCCGCGCTTGCTTCCTGAAAATTTGTCTTGACACCAACCCGACACTTTAGGGTTTTAGGGTTTAGGGTTTATGGAGAACATGGTTCTGGCGTCTTTTACCCTAGGCTTCCAGCGACCTTATTATTGAGTCCTTAAGGGGTCTGGGTCCCTAACTACAAGGTTCCTGGAAGCCTAAGGTTATGCTCTACGTATATACCGACTGTTTAGGGGAGAACAGCGCAAAGTTATTTGTCCAACCACTTTTGTAGGCTTCATGCACAAGGCCCCGCACACCCAGAGCATCTGTGCTTTGCGGCCTGGGGTTTTTGGTTCAGGCTTCCAGGGTTTACAGGGGTTGTATAGACATTGTATGGGCTTCTCGTCGGGGTTTTGTAGCACTTAGTCACTAAGTTAGGATTTACGGGGGCATACAGGGGCCTCAACAAACAGCGAGAGTATTCCTCTAACCCTAGTTGTCCAGTATCCTAGACGAGCGAAAGGTTAACCTTCTGGATTATACAGGGATTATAGAACCCTCCCCCCCAAAAAAAAAAGCCTGAAGGTTACCTACTCACCTACGCTACTACTAAGCAGCATAGGAACTACCGAAGCCTTAGCCTGATTATTCAGGCCCCTTGATCAGCGTGTAGGGCTTAAGATTCGGGCTACGGGTTTGACATTTAAGGGTTTAAGGTTTAGGGGTTTAGGGTTCAGGATTTAGGCCTGGCACTTCATGGCAACAGCAGCTACTTGAACCTCCCGACGCGGAACCCACGAAGCAACAAACGTGTAAAGGTGATGAATAACGTAGACTCCTCATGAATAATACCCCCTACCGTCACAGGGATTACACGATGAATCCGAATATTAAGGCCCTTCAAGGGGCCTGCATGCATACATAGCCAGGAACACTTCTCAAAAAATAACTCACTTGCCCATCTCGGAGCGATATTCGGGGTCTGACATGTCTGACCACAAACAGCCTTGCCTAAGGCTTGCACAGCTAGGCCAAGTTTGTGAAGCGCACGGTCGGTAAACGACTAAAGCCCTGGAGCCCCGCAAAAAAAACAGTAAAAAACCCTAAACCCTAAACCCTAAATCCCAAAAAGGCTCTGAACCCCGGAGTCCCACACACCTCCTCGTGGTACCACAATGCTATTCTGGCTTCTTCCACACAGCACTGCTTGTGTTCTGGTATGTTCGGGCTTCTGGTCCTTATAAAACCGGACTGGGAGTCTTGATTCATGTTATTACCAGGGATTAGGGTTTGGGGTTTAGGGTTTAGGGTTTAGGGTTTAGGGCAGCATCACAAAATATCACCAGCATGATTACCACTGCAACCACCATCAACAAACCTCTAAGCGAAACCAGTGATTAGCCTCTCCAGGCGCAGCTGCAACAAAGTCAGGGCCGACGAAGGCGAACCAAACCTCATGAAGGGTTTAGGGTTTAGGGTTTTGGATTTAGGGTTTAGGGTTCGCTTTGGGGTTGCCTGCTGAGAGGCGAGGTTCCACCGGATCGCGATTATGCTGAGGGCTTACAGGGCATCAGATTTCTATTCTGAACTTCTGTCAACGCGCATATACAAGTTTCCAATGAATCTCCTAGAATCTTATGACCTGGTTCCTTATGCAGGAAGGCATGCATATCAATGCCAGCAACAAGGAGCGAGGCGGCGAGACTGCGAGAGACAGCCAGAGAGTGAAAGAGCTAGAGAGAGGGAGAGTGGCAAGCAGGGGAACTCGATCCCTAAATACCCTAAACCTTACGTGCGGGCATGAATCCTTTAATGCTTGCGGTTTGCGCTTCAGGGCTTCGTGAAAAGCTCGGAGGTGCTCTTGAGGTTTAGGGTGCTCACTTGTTGAGCCCTAAACCCTAAACCCTAAACCTTAAGGTCCAGGGTTGATGGCTTAAAGGTCTTCATCGGCTTTTTTTTGGCAAGATAACAGGTGACGTGTGGGTCTTCGGTGCGAGGAGTCACATATCTAGGCCCAGAGCCTCAAGAAATCCTCAAGGGTGTTACTACGACTGCTCGACGGTTTCGAAACAGTCTGAAGCGACTTGGGACACGACTTTGCGAGATTGGATCGAAATTTGCTGGCGTGAAAAGGTCTCTCTCTCTCTCTCTCTCTCTCTCTCTCTGTATATATACATATATGTATATATATATATGTATGTATGTATGTATGTATGTATGCATGTATGTATATGTACGTATG